GTCATAAGGGTCAGTTTTTTTAAATTGAGATTTATACATCATCTGAAAGCTGAATAAATAATCTTTCCATTGTTGTATGGTTTGTTAGGATTTGGCTGAGATACAACTATTTGAAAATCTGGAATCTGAGGGTGCAAAAAAAAAAATCAAAATACTGAGAAAATCACTTTTAAAGTTGTCCAAATGAAGTTCTTAGCAATGCATATTACTGATCAAGCATTACGTTTTGATATATTTAGGGTAGGAAATGTACAAAATATCTTCATGGAACATGATCTTTACTTAATATCCTAATGATTTTTGGCATAAAAGAAAAATTGATAATTTTGACCCATACAATGTATTGTTGGCTATTGCTACAAATATACCCCAGCGACTTAAGACTGCTTTTGTGCTCCAGGGTCACAAATGTGCTGTAGCCCATTGAAATGCTTGAATGTGAACAGGTCAGCGTTTGTGTATGTAGGTGTAGGTGATTTAGGGTAAAATAATGCAGCTGTATTGTACTGTATTTGTATCCATGTATTTAGCTACAAAAATTTAGATTTTCACGATGTATTTTATTTCACTTGTTTGTGCACTTGAATTCTCAGTCACATTAGTGTGTTGAAGTTTGATGTTTTGATAGTGTGTGTGTATAGTAGGGCTTGCATAGACTAGTCGAGTGATCGACTACTTCAACTACTAGTCGGCGCTGTCAGAAACAATCGACTACTCGAGCATGCATTAACTATAATGCATGCACAGAGTTTGCAAGTACGACGTGAATTTTAAGATTACAATATTGCGTGTAACTGTTACTTTCTCTGTTGCATGTAAAATTAAAACATGTAATGTAATAATTAGGGGTGTGCCCGAAGCCGAATCCCTTATCATGTAAAATTAAAATATATAATGTAATAATTAGGGGTGTGCCCGAAGCCGAATACCTTATTCGGAATGGCACGGATAATGGCTTCAAAAACGGAATAACGGACAAGGAATAATTCTGCCTGAATATTCGGCTGAGGCTGGCACAGTCTGGTGTTTGCTAGATAACAGTTGAGCCAGGGGATCAGCGCAACAGTATACACAGACCTCTAAAGTCACGCAATAATGAGTGTGTGAAGTGAATGGATGTAAACTTTATGAATGAAAAGAGCGCAAATCAAACACCGCATTGCTGTTGCCTCTCAGTGCATCTCTCAGAAATCTGAGCTTGGCAAGAGTAATATCAACTAAAATAATACATCATACACGTTCTATTATTTGTGTATATTTAAATGGCAATGATTTAAACCTTAGGCTACGATATGATACACGAATGAATGGAATAAGCACAGCGCGCTCACCAATCAAACAGCCACGTGTGCATCTCAGTCTCAAAAACCAAACCAGCTCTCTCTCAAGAGTAGGCTAATAATCATCTAAGATACAGATACATTTTCTACTAGGCTTACATAGCGTGGCACACGCACATTTGTTTAGTGAAGTAAAAAAAAAAGACTCGCTTAAAGAATTCTGCGTAATGAAAATGTGCGCATTGAATTAATTCAGTCATGTTCAAATGATCACTAAACATTTGTCATGACATCTCTCTGCTTGTATGATAAATTTATTTGTAGAAATTAATAATTATTTTAGTTTAACACGGCATATTTGTTCAGTGATAAAAAAAAAGATAGTCATAACGGTCTTATCAAGTAACTGTAAGAAGTTCCACCTGGTTTTATCCGAATTCAGATACGCATAATTTTGTGATTGTTACAGATACAAATACAGATGCAAATACTGACTGTTACATGAAAATTTAAATATGTAATGTCATAATTATAAAGTTTTGACAATTTACGTATGTTATGTAATTGTTGCATTAGGCTATGAATTACTAAACGTTTATTGATAAGAACTATTTCATGTCTTTTCATTTACAGCATGAACCACGAGTAGTCGAGTAACTCGAGTATTTTTTAAATAAGAAATCGACTAGTCGTGCAACCCCAAGTGTATAGTAAGTTTTAGTAATAAAAACCACATTTGCTTATTTGCAAATCAGTGTTAAATGTCTGCAGTAATTATTTTTATTAGTGCTGACTAATGAATAGAATGACTAGTGCTGGCTAGAATATATTAACATGGTTCATCCATCAGTGCTTTAATACTTACTTTAATACTTTGTTAAAGTTAAATTGAAAATGAGAACTAATATATTTACTGGAGTAATATTTTGTCTGGGTATCTGTACTTTTACTCAAGTACCTGATTTTTGTAATTCATCCATTACTGATCAGTGCTTCCCACAGGTTTGAAATATACTTGCGGTGGTAGCCGGGTGGAAAATCCTCCTATTACCCACGGCCAAAAATGGTCTACTACATGTGACAAATAACAAATAATGTGTGATTTTTAAGAATATTTTAATTTATTGAAATTCATTTTAATTACATAGGCTACTATTACATTTAATTACATACTAATATCATGCATTGTAAATTATGCAAAATTACAGCATTTAAATGGTAGAGTTCTCCTTGTCTTTTACTGAAGTCGTTCCAAACCTGAATGAGTTTCTTTCTTCTGTTGAACACAACAATATTTTGAAGAATGTTGGTAACCCAATGGTTGCTGGTAGCCGTTGACTAACATAGTATTATATATTTTTTTCCATGCTAGGGAAGTCATTGAGGACCAGCAACTGTTTTCAACTAAATACTATGTAGTTGCCTAAAAGGCATCTTACAGGCCTTTCTTGTGAACTTGCCGCCTCTCATGTGTGCGTTGCTTTCATATATGAGAAGTGCGCTCATCATGAATGTTATAACAGCAATTGCGCATCCACAACAGTAATACCTGCTTGTGATGATGAGTGAAAATATCCTGCATCAGACTGTCACTAAATTTAAAAAATAAAATCAGGAAAATCAGCAACAGCTCGTATCATATTTTTTTGTGTGTTGTTTGAATTTGTTTTTGTCATGTTTTATTCTTGATACTAGGGTTGTGCAATTAATTGGAAAACAGTTTCGATTTCGATTTGGCCTCCAACGATTATGAAAATACAATAATCGAGATAAAACGATTATTGCGGCCCATTCCGCCCCCTTTTCCAGCGCTGCGCTTTCGTTACTCCATAAAACCCCAATTTCACGTGCAAATCAGTAAAATCATGTAACGTGACCTTTGCAAAAGGGGACGTGCTTGATTGAAGTATATTTATTCATGATTTTGAAAAGCGTGAAAGAACTTGCGCTGCTCCTCAGGAAGATATATGTGCTCAGAGACACGGACATGTAAAGTCATCTTTTAGCACCTAAACGGTCAAATACACGCAAAAATGTTAAAATGTGGCGCTTACTGATTATTCATGTATACCTTCGTCAGTTATGTAATAAATGAACGTAAAGAGTTGAGAATGAAAATACGCGTGTAACGGTAAATTGGATCCGTGCGGCTCTTAAAGTGACAGCAGCCTAATATTCCTGCTGCGACTGTGTGCTTAATATTAATCAAGCAACAAAAGACAATTTCAAAATAACACACTGCTCTTGAGTGAAGGACTTTTGTAGCTTTAATAAGAAACAAAAAAGTTAAATTCTTGCAGTGAAGACTATGCTGTTTTATTTTACATTTGATTATTCATTTCTGTAGTAGGCTGTAAACCGCATGAGACTTGCATAAAAACACAATAAAGCACAGTTTGTTTCATTTGTATCTTTTTATTCTATTGTATTTGTCCTTTGCTTTTTTTTATTACTGATGGTTAAATTATTTTCAATCATTTTGAGGACTTTTTATTTGTTTGTTTGAAATTCTGCTGGTCTCTACAATGTAGATTTCATAGCAACCTTATTTACAGGAAATATATATATTTGATATGTATCACTATCTTTAAATAAAGCACTCTTATAAAGTTTTGGTCATATGGCCCCCTCATAATCGTGGTTACAATATTCACCAAAATAATCGTGATTATGATTTTTGCCATTATTGAGCAGCCCTAGTTGATACCCTTGAAAAGGTTTTTAATCACTCAATTTAGTTTTGGAATTTTAGGAAACATTCTTTTTTGAAATCATTAGTTTCTATTTTATATTATATATATATATATATATATATATAT